TCTGTCTCCCAGCATCCTTCCCCCTCACACCTTGTTCACCATGGTGTTTAGAAAAAAGAGGAGAGCGAGCCAAGGGGAAACAATTGGCCTTAGTCCCTGCCACTTAGCTCTTCTCAGCGTATGCACATCTACTAAATAAAGTTCACAATCTCTTTGGTAAAATGGCCCACAAGGACATCCATTTCTTTCACAAAAGACAAATGGCTCAGAAACGTATTGTAACAGAGTTCAAAAAGTGAATCAGAAGCAGTGTGAGTGTGAGGAAGGAAAGTACGGAAAGAGGAAGAAGAAGGGAGAGGGCAGGAGAAGGGAGAACAGGATGACCTGAGGTTCAAACGGGAGGTTGCACAGCCTGAAAGGAGGGGGCAGGGAGAAAATGAATGCTAGTTTCAGGAGACTTTGGATACAGGACGTGACTAAGAGGCAGGTGTTGTGGTGTAGACTGTTAAGTAGCCACTTGGGAAGCCCAACAAGAACGCTGAAGTCCCTGCTCCCCTGCCTCCCTCCCAGCTTCTTGCTAATGCATCTTAGGGAGGCAGCAGATAGCTCAAGTGCTCGGGCCCCTGCCACCCATATGGGAGATCCAGACAGCATTCTGCATTCCTGGTTTCTGCCTGGCCCAGCCCTGGTTGTGGGCAAGCATTTGGGGAGTGAGCCAGCAGGTGGAGCATCACTCTGTGTCTCTGCTCTCTGCCTTCCATCGAGATGGAAGCAAAGTCAATAAACAAGTAAAAGAACATGACCAGAGAGATAAGTGCACATTCAGCAGGACCGAACTACCTCCTGTGCAGACCGCACCAGCTTCTGTGTCCATTCTGTTTCTTTCTTTTCTCTTTTAGATTGATTTATTCATTTGAAAGTCAGGGTTATGTACAGAGATCTATATATAGCCCTTACAATGCTGGTTCACTCTCCTGATGGCTGCAATGGCCAGGGCTTAACCAGGCACAAGCCAGGCACCCTTCATCTGTGTCTCCCATGGGAGTGGAAGGGGCCCAAGGGTTTGGGCCATCTTCTCCTGCTTTTCTCAGGAAGAAACGCTCCATAACAGGAGGCAGATAGAAAGTGGAGCAGCCAGGACACAAACCAGCACCATATGGGATGCTGATATTGCTGCTGGTAGTTTTACGTGCTGCTCCACAAATCCATTCTGTTATTTTGAAGCAGAGTCGGGGTCTACTTTCCAGAAGCTTCACTGGTGTGCTGTACGTGAAGGAGGGCAGAAGGGGACGGGAGGGAGATATTGCTTCTGGGCTGTAATTCAAACAGATTTAAAATGATTTATCTCCTTCACGTAAACTAAACATCTCAGCTGCTTCATGGCCACACTTTCAATTGTGTTTTAACCATATTTTCCATAGAAGGAACACCCCAACAATGCCCTAAAAGGCTTCAGTAATTGTTCTCTTTTCCCTCACATTGTAATTAAGTTGCTGTGTACAGAATTGTAACCCCGTGGAAACTTCCAGCTCACCATCGTGGTTCTGACACTGATCATGCACAGGTGGCATCCCTGTTCCATGAGTCTCATCAATGCAGCCGTGTCTTGACTGGCTCCCCATTCGGAATGCCCTCCCTTCTCCAGGGTCTCCCCACACATCTGGTCAGGTGAGGTCCAGCCCCATCTCCACAGCCCGGTGGAAGGAGTTCCAATTCCCCACCTTGACAACCTCAGCCCTTGCTGTGGGTGCCTCACACGCCTCACGTACTTTCTGCCTTTTTTGGAAGTTGCTTGTGCCTATGCCTGGTAGCCTCTGGCAGCTGCAGACTGCGATTTACTTTCTTTAGTATATATCCACCACTCAGGCCTGCTTCTTAAATGCGCTGAGCAAACGTTCACTGAATGACCAAATGCACATATGCATGCATCCGCTTCTCTCCTTGGCGACAAGCACTCGAGACACAGTTAACACACACACTCTCTCTCTCTCATCTGTTAAGATACTACAAGGTTCTGAGGAAGAGACATTTTCTACCCACAAAAGAAAGCACGTTTATTCTGCATCCAGTTTCGACAGAACCAAAGTGTGGGCTGAAAGTGTGGCCCACTCTCATTCAGATTTCGCTAATCTCTTATTTAAAAAAAAATACGTGCAAGAAACCCGTGGACAGAAGGGAAGAGAAAGTATCCTAGGCGAATGACTGAATCAGGGCCTGATGGAAGGGAGTGTAGATGACAGGGAACTGGATGAAAACAGGAGAAAAAGGAGTCAGGAAAAAGGACAGATGCATGGAGATTGAGAAAAGGAGAAGGAAAGGGGATTCAAGATGAAGTTCTAAGCCAGCAATTCTGATTTTCCTCAAAATGTGAACTTGATAAATGAACAAGGCAGAAAAGCCACTGGGTAAAAAGAAACAGACTTTGCAGACAGACAAATCTGGTTACTGGTATCCCATGAGCTACTGTTTGACCCTGACCAAGTGACTCAGTCTCTCTCTGAGAACACTGCTTTCTAAAAAACATTTTGTTTCTGAAGTAATTTTAGATTTACAGAAAAGTTGCAAAAATAGTACAGAAGATCCTTGCATGCCCCAGCTAGCTTCCTCCCCGAATGTTAATGTCTGTCTTAATCCCACTTTTAATCCCTATTATAACCCCTGAACAGACGGTCATGCAATGACTAGCTGAGGCCTTGCTGGAGTTCCAGCTGTTACGCTAGCCATGTCTTCTGCCAGCCTCAGACCCACGCTGTCGCGGTGTCACATTTGCTCCTTGGCTCGTCCCCCCTGTGATCGTCCTGCAGGCTTCTCTTAGACCTGGACCTTGACATGGCTTTGAAGAGTAGACTGTTGGGCCGCCTGATACTTTAAAATCAGATTTAGAGGATACATTCTTAGCAAAATATCACGGAGATGGTGGCACACCCTCTAAGGGCATCCTAGCAGGGGAACCTGCTAAGCATATTGGGTTTCTTTACTATCTTGCTTTGCCCTTTGTAATTAATATCTCGTACAGACATCCTTGGAGACCATACAAATCTGCTGGGTCTCATCAGGCTTAATTCACTCATCATAGAGTTGGACTTCATCAGCGGTTCCTGTCTGCAACGATGACTGCTGTCAAGTCCTAACGATCTTCATTTCCCCCATCTCCTTCTCCATGTTAGCTCAACTCTTTCGTAAGCAGCATCTCCTCGCCAACCTTAATCTATTTACATGTTGTTTACATCATGAGCATTGACTCAAGAATATTTTACTGTTTGGATCATGATCTAGAACTTCATTATTTTGTTACCTAGCCTTCATTTCTTTCATGTGTAAGACAGATAATGACAATTGTAGGTATTAAATGGGCTTCAAAATACGAACCGTGCCACTTTGCAAGCTCCTTTGCTTTCATTTCTTCACAGAACATAAGCCATACTAATCTGGAGGCAAGGCCATTTTAACCAGGTGAAAATCAGAATGTCATAATTTTCTTTTTATGGATCTCAGCTTTTCTGTCCAGTGGTGTATAATGAAGCTAGAATTTAGTTCTCCCTGTGTTACTGAACGCAGGTTATGTGGAACCTGCCTGTAATAACTATATAAGACATTTTTTTAAATCAGCATGCTCATAATTCGTATGAAAATAGACACTTGAGGATATTTGAAAATAGTCTGCACTCTCAAGTAGTTTAAGCATTTTCCCAGAAATCTTGTGTATGTCCTGAAGTTGCTTAGCTAAACTATTCTCAGAGATAGACCGAAGCCTGCCTCCACCCAGCTGTGAGTCAAACCACTGACTCTGAAGTACTGAAATCACCGATTCATCTCTCTGACTCCCAGGGCTACAAGGGCCGTGAACAGAACACAGCCAAGTTTAATTTGAAATCAGGTTTGAAAAGTTCCGGCAACTCATTTTTCAGCTCAGGTTGAATTTTTAAAAACAATGACCAAAAAAAAAAAAAAAAAAAAAAGATAGGGTTGTAAGAATGTAAAAGCGAATACATGTTGATGCTTCAAATAATTCACATGATATAGTAAAATCTATGATGGAACTCCTTCCATTTCCTGGAACTTTCATTTTTCCACTCCATTTTTATCAGTAGGGAAAATCAAGAACATAGGATTTATTTTTAAAAAAACAACCTTGGGGCAACGTGGTTTACAAGCTCTCACTCGGCCTCCTAGAGACTTTATAAATTCAGCTTGGGATGGGACCAAGAATCTCTCCTTTAACCAGACACTACCCCCCAGCACCAGCCTCCTGCAGCCAGAGTCAGGCCACATAGCCCAGGCTGCGGGGCCTGAGCAGGCGCCCTTGAATCTCACCATGATTTCATTGCCTTGTGCCTTGGCTTCCCCATTGGTAAATGGGGTTCATGATAATATCCCAAAGTGACTGTGAGGAGCAAGTAAGAGCTATGTGCAAAATGGCTAGCATGGTGACAGTGGCTCAGCCTGACACTTTCTGGATTCCCTGGGTCTTGCTACAGTCACTAGCAATTACAACCATCAGCACAACCTCGGTTGGTGTGTTTTGATGGCTGCTGGATAAGCTCCCATAACGTGGCAACATTTAAGTAACAAAGGTCACGTGCTCCTCGGTCAATCAGGAATATGTGGCCAAGAATGGAAGTATCTTTCAGGCATTTAAGATAATTTTTCCTAAATGATTGAAATAGAAAGCAAATGCATTGGTTGTGTTCAGTACACCCAAAACTAACACACACACACACACACACACACACACACACACACACACACACACACAGACACACACACAGAGTGATTTAATAGTTAAAGTAAAAGAAATTAAATGTGAGACAAATAGAACACAGACTAGAAAATGCTGGAAGCAGGTTACACTATGCAGAGACCATGTTCCTTCTGTCCCAGAGTGCAGCCTACCATGATCCCAGCACGTGGGCTATTGCCCTGTTCCTGGGCCCAGGGCCACAGGGAAGCCACTCTCTGCCTCCCTGAACTGGGCTCCACCCTAAGCCTCTCAGACAAAGGTGACATGGTCCCCTTGAGAACTGACTCGGGTATGACAAGACCCCAGAGCGACCTCTTACCTCGTTAAATCTCATCACAAGGTCTTCCAGGGCATTGTGTTCTCCATTCTGAGAAGTAAGAATCGATGCGGAGAGGGACGCCTTGAGACAGGGCAGGGACCTCTGGCATTCCGGGGTGCCCAAGTCCCGGGTCAAGAAGCAAAGGTAGTCAACAGGCAAAACCTTTCGGTAGATATTCTGCTCCTGCTCTGTCAGGATGCTGGCCACTTCTTCCGGGAACTGGATGAGGGGCTGCAGATCGATCAGCTCCTTGCTAATCCCGGCTGAACTTGAAGGGAGGGCATTGGAACTGGCCATAGAGGTGCCCGATTGGCGTTCTGAAATACAGCAGGAAAAGCCGTGGTTACACCAAGGGAGGGATCGCCCATGATAGACATTTACTTGACAATACTTGAACTCTTGTGTAGGTTTCTTAATCGAATCCTTTGCTTTGGGGAACAGCTATTATCACCTTCATCCAGGGACTTTCTGCTATCGTATCTGCCTTCCCCCTTCCCCATCACTCCTTGCCATCAAGTGGAAGGGGGCTGGGTTTTCCACTTTCAGAAGCATTCCTCTGCCACACCAGTCTCTGAGCAGTTCTCATTATCTGTGAACATGCAGGAGACTGCATGCGGTCTTCCAGCTAGCCGCCCTCAGTCTTTGATTTCATTGAAATCCACTAGGGGTTTTACAATTGCAGAACCACTTATAAAAGACAAGAAGGAATAGGTAATAAGGAAATGTATCAAAATAATCTGACTCCTTGGTCCATAACTGCTAGCCAAAAAGTGGTGGAGGCATGAAGGAAAGAGGGTAGAAGTGCTTTAGAGAGAAACACCAAAGAGAAAAACTCCCAGGCTCAAAATGATCCCCCCAGTTAAAAAGGCTATAATGAGTTTTCTCTTAGTTTCTTGCTGAGAACTGACTCACTTCATCCACTTAACCATTCATTCAACAATAGTTTCCCAAAGTATAATCTTCAAACTGGTATTGGCAAGAAAAAATTGCTTTGTGTATATTGGCTTAACCCAGTGTTTCCTCAGAGCCACACTTTGTCCATTCATGGTTTCATGCTGTGTGAGTAGCACCCGGGGAGTCATGGAAGCACGCACTGCTGTTAGGCCTCACTTCCCATGCAGTGCCCCTCCTGGATGCTCTGCTTGCCACCTCTCACTGCACGTTAGGAGAGGGCCAGGTTCTAGCTGCCCAAGGTCTTTCTCACACACCTGCCTTCCTGCAAAGCTACTGGTGATTCCACACAGTCTCCTTACAGCACTGTATTATCAGCTACGACCTGCAACCCATCCTGGACAGTGGGCAACAACTAGTTCACAGAACTACATTCTTAGCCTTCAGAATCCATGATTGCTTGACTTTTTTTATTAAATCTCCACTGCAGAAAATTCTGGAAGTATTACTCTGTACTGTTTCATTTTTGCATTATTGTTAATTTTTATTTATTTGAAAGGATGAGAAAGGGATGAGAGCATGATCACCCATTCCCCCAATGCCCACAACAGCTGGGGCTGGGCCAGTTTGAAGCCAGAGACCTGGGACTCAATAGCGCCCTCTCCTGATTGTTGGCAGGCAGGTTGTGAGTGGCAGGGAATCAAGTATTTGAGCCATTATCTGTTGTCTCTCAAGGGAAGCTGGCACCAAGCATGCAGCTGGAACCAGAGACCAGGTGCTATAATACGGGATGTGGTTGTCCTCAGCAACCTCTTAATTGTGGTGCCAACCTGCTCTCACTTCTGTATTATTGAGCTTTCAGCTATTATTGCTGAACTTGGCTTCATTCTTCCCTTCTACCCCCTCCATTAATACCTTCTCATTCCCTTGAACCTGCTATGGTGCCACGGTCAGCATTTTAACACTTTGGCTTTATACCATGTGTACTTCCCAATCCTCAATCCTGGACAAACTACAGCCACCCATTTTGTTGGTGTCTCTCCCATCACATGATGATGCTGGCAGTCACACTACTCAGGAATGGAACCACAAAGGCCCTGAGGTAGCTTTAGACATGACATGAATTTATTGATTTTACCTCAACCACTCGCTGTTCCTTCTTCCTGCCTTTTCTATCCTCATTGGTCAAATCCACTTTAGCTTCCCTTAGAACTGTTTGATCGGGCATGGCGCAATAGCCTAGCGGCTAAAGTGCTTGCCTTGCAGGTGCTGGGATCCTATATGGCTGCTGGTTCTAAAACTGGCAGCCCCGCTTTTCACCCAGCTCCCTGCTTGTGGCCTGGGAAAGCAGTTGAGGACGGCTCAAGGAGACCCATCGTGGGAGACCCAAAAGAGGATGTGGGCTCCTGGCTTTGGATTGACGCAGCTCCGGCCATGGCAGTCACTTGGGGAGTGAACAGGCGGACAGAAGATCTCCTCTCTGTCTCTCCTTCTCTATGTATATCTGACTTTTCAATAAAAATAAATAAATCTTGAAAAAAGAATTGTTTGAACATTTCTTGGTTCACGAGGCTGAGACAATCAAGACCAAGCACTAAGAACGCCTCCATTTCATTGCCTTGGTTTCTTTCATCTTCTCCTTCTCTAAGAATGCAATGTGCCTCCTCCTCTTCCATCTGGGTTTGTGATTAAATCTACTTTTGTCTCTTCTAGAGCTTGTCTTAGTAGTAATCTCCATCCCTAACTTTTTCTTTCCACAACTTCTTGGTTTACACAAGCAATCATTCCCAATCCCTTTAAAACTAAACAAATAAGACTTTCCTTTGTTCTTGATTTCTGAATCATCTCAACCCTCCCTTCATTAGGTCCCTTCCCTGAAGGATAGCCTGCCTGTCTTGATGTGAAGGTGGCAATCAACAAAAATATCACACTCCGTGGTTTGCCCATATTCATATAAACCAAGAGAGTTGTGGGGAACAAAACGGGACCCAGTCCCATCCTCAGGATTCCAACTTGTTTTGTCACCATGTTGGCGTGGCACTGCTCTGCCGTGTTCTCTGCTCAAGTCATTTCTCCTGAGCAGCCCAACGGCCTTGGCGGCACAGCTTAGGAAAAGCTCATGGTGGAACTGGCATTTGGTCAAGCAGGGAGCTCTCCTTTTAGAAGAAGGCTGCGAGTGACAGTCTAAATACAACAGAAAGTTTAAAAGTGCAAATGGCATTGTTCTCCACTGATGTCAATTTTGGATTTGTTTTAAATGGATTCCAGGCCAAAAAAGAAAATCTGTTTTGCCTTCTCCATAAAACCTATAGTATCAAAGAGATGACTCCTCTTTGATCCTGAAAGGAAAGTAGAAGAGTAAGGAATTCATTCTAGGCATTTTTATTCACTAAAAAAAAAAAAAAAAAAACTATTAACAAAATCGACTGTAGCAAAAAACAGAATCCAGTTACTTTTGCTTCTGTCTAAGCTCTTATACAATGAGGCAGATGCTGACATGCAGTCGCAAGGCCTCACTCTCCAAAAATTCTTTTTTTAAATTTTCTATGAGTGGCATAGAAAGTGACTACATATCCTGAAAATTGAGTCTCAATTTGCTCAGTGACAGAGGCGGACTGCAGCTTCCAGCTATTAGTAATCTTCGCACAATGGAATTAGCCATACACAGGTACTCTTTCCAGAAGCAATTAATCTAAGCAGGATTTGGAATTGCAGCACTTTGCAAAGGAAATAAAATAACTCTCAAATCTTATGAAACAGTCACTTGTCTGTTATGTAAGAGAAGAGATAACATAATAAAATGTAGAAGCAATGCCAGGCAAGATGATGTATTAGAAGCTGTAACATATCCTGAGATATGAATCACAGGCTGCTTAATGAACAACAAGTCAGGTGCCTGGGAGGAAACAGCAATGGAGAAGCCCCAAAAACTATTGAATAAAAGAAAAAGAAGCCTGGTCAGTGTAACCGTAATAAATCCAGAGACCACCACGTGTCTCAGGATACACATGACATCATCCTAAAAGGAAACATGAACCTAATCCCAGAACCTGAAACAACATAGGCCTTCAGTGTGGCTTTCCCTGAGGCAGGACTGCTCAGAGAGTTCATACAATGCAACAAGAGGAAACATCCAACGTCTGGAGATGTAATTTTCCACCCCTGAGTCCTGCACTGTTAATGCCTGCTACACCACATTTTCTCATCTTATTGAGTACCTCCTCCATTACCTTCACATGTCCCATCAAGTCACCCTCCAGACTTCTTCTCTGCGACATGCACCCATGGTTACTCTGTCATTTTACAGACCTAACATATCTAGGACCCCTGACTCCTCCACCATCAGGGCAGCAATGTTCACAAATATCCACTTTAAGGAAGGTAGCACAGTGGCAGAGCATACTAATCATCTGCCTGCAGCATTTGGCATCCCATATGGGCACCAGTTCGTGCTCCAGAGGCTCCACTTCTACTCCAGCTCCCTGTTTATGACCTGGGAAAGCAATGGGGGCACAGCTTAAGCCCTATTACCCTGAATCCATGTGGGAGACCCAGATTGGCTCAGTTCTGGCTGTTGTAGCCATCTGCAGAGTGAACCATAGCATAGAAGATCTTTCTTCCTCTCTGTAACTTTCAAATAAAAAATAAATCTTAAACCAAAAATCCATACGAGGAACTAGCATTATGCTGTAGTGAATTAAACTGCCCATTGTGACATCCCAGCATCCCATATACGCATCAATTTAAGTCCTGGCTGTTCCACCTCTTCCATTTCCAATCAAGCTCTTTGCTAATACAACTGGGAAAGCAGCAGAGGATACCCAAGTGCTTGGGCCCCTGCAGCTACTTGGGGGACCTGGAACAAGCATCTGACTCTTTTCTTTGGAGTGGTCCAGATCCAGCTATTGTGGCCATCTGGGAAGTAAACCAGCAGTTGGAGGATTCTGTCCCCTCCGCTAACTCTGTCTTTCAAATAAAAATAAATTTTAAAAAATCCACTGCAGTGTTTTTCAAAGATTTATTTATTTTTATTGGAAAGTCAGATTAACAGAGAGAAGAGAGATCTTCCATTTGCTGGTTCACTCTTAAGGGGCCGCAACAACCAGAGTTGAGCTGATCTGAAGCCAGGAACCAGAAACCTCTTCCAGGTCTCTCACATGAGTGCAGTATCCCAAGGCCTTGGCCCATCCTCTGCTGCTTTTCCAGGTCACAAACAGGGAGCTGGATGGAAAATGGAGTGGTTGGAAAACAAACTGGTACCCATATGGGATCCTGGCATGTAAGGCGAGGACTTAGCCACTAGGCTATCACAATGAGCCTTGCAGTTATCTTTTTATGAAAGCATTTTTAGAAAATTTCTGAACAAAATTAACTACTAAAAATCAGTGTTTTCTCTCAGTTTCATGTTTCTATTAATGTTATTGTT